TCCAAGATGAATACTGAGGGCCTAATTCCTAAGGTGGGGTTTGGTCATTAGTGCAGTGCACAACATCCAACTCATATGTACCTGTAGCCAAAATGCTGACAGGACTTGTTGTTCAAAAAGATGCAGACCAGACACCAGTCAAAGATCTTAGAAAATGTTTTAGCACGAAGGCTAGCCAACTAGAGATTTACCGGATTCGTGCGTGATAGCAAATCCATAACTTCACTGAATCAGGCTGGTGAGAGCTAATGTTTTGGAGAGCACCCCTCCTTCTAAGTGGGAAGAAAAGAAGTTTGAGCACGCTCTGCTCTCCCTCGCTTGTGGTTCAATCAGAGTAACAGAGGAATCGGGATTTTGGGCATCCTTTACAGGAAAGCACTAGTAGATATATGGTTTTTGCTTGGGGAGTAGGACTAAACGCTAAAGCATCGCATGAACATTACTCTATTTCCTGAAAAGACCCAATAACAAACCATTCGTGGGTTCCATTCCCCCCAGGGCAAGTCTTGAGGAAAGGAGGAAGTAGAACAAACAGTTGGGCATGCAAGATTCAATTTGGGAATGTGAAGCAAAAGATGAACACGCTAGGGCAAGGTGGAGAGAGGCTTACGGTGGAGTCGGGGCGTTCTTTCTGTCGGAGACGGAGCTCCAGCTCTGGGTTTCGGGAGTTAGTGAGCTGCATAACGCAATAGCCGATGACGCCGGGAACGACCCCGCAGACAGTGGCGAATCCAAAGAAGAAGGGCCTGGAGTCCCTCGTCCTCCTCACCAGCCATCGCCATGTCTGACTCTTCTCCCACAGGAACGACATCTGCCAATCTGACACCTCTTTCCGACTCTGAATTTTGCTGAGCCTTCTTCTTCTGCTCTTGGTTCTTCTCCGCTGTTTGCTCGGATATTCGCTAATCGCTAGATTTAAACCCTACTCTCCTCGTCTTGCTTCCTTGAAATTGGGTTCCCAATTCAGGTGGTGGAAGGCCCAAAAACGGCTAGATAAAGGGGAGAGAGAAAGTGCCAGAAACGCTAAGCGACGAATCGCGCAAAACGGAAACGGCCATCTGAAACGCGAAGGTGGAAATTCTTGCTGAAACGCCAAACGGAACCCCACCAAAGGAATCAAATTCCAAAGACCAGCCACTGCTAACTGCTCGGGTAAAATACATCGGATACCACTTAAGTTTGACAATTGAAGTAGACATACTACTTAAATTTGAATAGGGCGTCGGGTACCATTAAAGTCGCCAAAATGTGCATCCGTCTAGTTTTCCATCCAACCCAAAATTTTAATTACTTTTTGGTACCCAAAACTTTTAAAAACATCCAAAACTATATTTCAACAAGTTTTTATCTAATATAAAAATTAAAAAACCTTCTAAACATAATATTACTAAAATGACTAATCAAAATTGACAATAAAATAGATAAATTAGTAAAAATAATAAACAAATATCAAGAAGAAGAATAAATATATAGAATATAATAATAAATATTTAAAATCAATATTAGAAGATCTATTTAAATTGCTAATCCAATTAGAAATACTATTAAAAATAGTTAAAATAGAACCTAGTCAATCATCAATACATCAAGACCAAAGAAGGATAAATGGAATCGAGTGAGAAAGAATTAAACATATTCCAGTAATTGAAGAAAATTTAGAACGAAAAGAGAACGAAAGTAACCAAGTAATAAATAAATAAAATTTACAACATTTCGTAACAAATATGAAAAAAATACGACTATAGGAAGAGAATTAGAATTAGTAAATTTAATTAATATGGAACATCTAAAATATAGGGCTAATACCATTGGGAAACCCGAACTATTAACTTTGTGCCATTTGTGTCCTAAAGTATTCGATATGACAATTGTGTCCCAACGTTTGGTAGTTTTGTGTCATTTACGTCCTGACAATTTCGTTGACCGTTATAAATAACGGTTGACCAAACGGTCAACCATAAAATGTTGACTGTTAGTTACATGGCACATATGTGACAGCCACATCCGCGCCACGTCAGCTGCCACATCAGATTATTATTTTTAAATTAAAATTAAATAAAAACAAAAACTAATCCCTTCTAGCTGCTACATCCGCATCCACATTCGCGGCGGTGGTTGGGAGAAGGGAGAGGGAAGGGTAATTTTTATGTTTTGTTTTTTTATTTTTGTAATTTTTTCATTTTCTTTTCCTATATAGAAAATAATTATAAATTAATGTTATAAATTCCACTTCATATGCCACATCAACGCTGACTAGACTTTATATTTAAAACTAACGGTCAATGCCAGTCAACTCTAACGGAAAAATAGTTTAGGACACAATTGTCATATCGAATACTTTAGGACACAAATGACACATTGTTAATAGTTCGGGTTTCCTAATGGTATTAGCCCTAAAATATAATATTAGAAAATTACAAGGATATTTAACATAGAAAATTATACAACACCAGCATGATGTACGAGAATTAAATATAACATTCTCAGATTATTTATATCGATATAGAATTCATAGTATATATTTGCTTCAGCAAATTATTCGATTATTATAACTTATAATGGTAACTGAAAATACTAATAATGATAATTGATTCTACATTTCTTATTCAAAAATTGATTTGGTATCAAAGTATTCAAAAGAGGATTCCAACTAAATAGAATTCATAGGATATATTTGATTTAGAGAATAATTCAATTACTAGAAAACATAATGATAATTTAAAATACTTATAATGATAGGTGATTTTCAATTTTCTATTCACAAATTAATTTGGTATCAAGTCTTCAAAAGAGGACACCAACTAAATAATAAAAATTGATGTTTTTCATAAGTCAAAATGATTCTTTACAATAAAAAAAGTAGAAGGAATAATTAAGAAATTTAGAAAATAGAATATTCCAAGAATATTCTGTTAACTTTAACGAAATGCACCTAACATTAAACTTAAGTGGTACCGGATGCACAAATAATAGAGTTCAGTGGTACCCGACGCCCTATTCAAACTTAAGTGGTATGTCTGCCTCAATTCTCAAATTTAAGTGGTACCCAAGGTATTTTAGCCCTGACTGCTCCTTATTAACAAGTAACAACCAAGTTTTACCACTCCCACTCGGTCTCATGACCTGTCATATACAATGATTTAGTACAATTAAGTCCCATCCTCTAACATGCATAGGGATGGCAAGAAAACCCGAACCCACGGGTATCCACCCGACCCAACCCGGTCAACGCGGGTAAAACCTGTGTTGACAGGTTTTGGGTCGGGTTTGGGTTTAAACCCGCTACACTATTCACCGGGTCGGGTTGGATTTGGGTTTAGATAAACCCGCCCCATGGGTACCCGCCCAAATACATATAATTACTTTCCCGGTAGATTTAATATTCTAAATATTATATCTTCCTTAAACAATTAATATTCTTTATGTTTGTGGAGACATATATAATTTGTTGTTTGTAATTGTTTAGAATGAAGTTGATATTATGAAGTGGAGAGTGAAGAAACTTAGTTGACGAGTAAGAAGCTTTCAATTAATCTTATTGTTTATAGATGTTTATATTTAATTTTGAACAATTTGTATTGATCATTTGCGGTTTGCTTGTATGCTCTAGATTGGTGTTTTTTGTATGAATAATTTGTATAAGAAAATTAATGTTAAACTTTTATTTTGAAAGAAACTTGTTATTGTAAATTTTTTACCACAAAAACCCGCGGGTATCCACGAACCCGCGGATACCCAGCGAGTTGGGTTGGGTTTGAGTTTTTCAAACCCAATGAGTTTTACCCTGGGTTTTTTTGGCGGATAAACCCATGAGTTTGGGTTTGGGTTTGACAAAACCCTTCCCAACCCGACCCATTTCCATCCCTAATCATGCATAGGTGAACAAACACACCCACAAACTGATCTATCCATCCAACTCGTTCCAACCCACTCGTATTTATCGTTAAAATTAAGGTTTTAGGTTGAAAAAAAGAGGAAGGCATGGGGGTGGGAGTAATTGTGGGGTCCGCACCTGGTCAAAACTCAGTATCATCATTAAATGGGTTGACGTTATTACGATTTTGCCCCTCCGTGTATTTAATTTTTCTGATCTGACGGTTACGAATTAAATGCAATGGACGTTAGATGAACTGGTTACTGACAATTACTGACAAAAAGGTTACTAATGGAATCCGGACCCTAATTCCTTAAACTTATAAGGGATAAAATATTTGTATTGCGATTAGTCCCTTTTCTATTTTCACCTCTTAATTTGGTAACCTAAAACAATTGTGGCATAGATAACCATATGTGTTCCACACACACACAAAAAAAAAAAGTTCCACTTTAGGTAGAATTAAATCGACAAGGAAACAGAATTAGAAATGTCTCTCCGTTGGATTTTTTTTCTTCAGAAACAATAATAAGTCACGAGTAGGATCGCCATGGCTATAAGCAGGGAAGCAGCCGATAGCACATCGTGTGATGGAAGAGACGCCGAGGCCGCGTTCACAACAGGTCGAGCCCCGCCCGTGGGGTTGTCTGCTTCCGGCGAGATCGCGGGTGACAGTGGCAGCGTCACCGTGGAATCTGGAGCTGGCGCATCGGCTACGCCTGCTGCCGCCGCTGAAGGCCCAGGTGGTGAGGATGGGTTCAAAATGGCAGGCCCAGGTGCTGGCAGAGGAGATCCAGAAGCTGCACCACCTCAGCAAGTGAAACACAAAAGACAAGAACTTTAGACAAAATCGCAAATTCACGTAAAATCAACCAAAAAAAGGTAAGAGTGGTAAAGTAAAATCGTTACAAAATCGGAAAGTTCCGAGTGGTAAAGTAATATCGTAAATTGAACCATTGTGAAATCATAAGATTCTGATTTAAATATGATAGGGTACATTAGCAATCCCCAAGGCAAGAGCCTAGTTAATGACATAATGAAGAAAAGAAGACAAAGGGAAAAAGACAAGGCCAAGAGACAAGGAGACAAGTCCAGGCACCTTACATCAGCAAAGACTAGGGGCAGGGGGACACCCCCTGCCAAAAGTACAATGTACAGTGTCAGAGAGTCTGAGGCGCCCGACCACTGCATTTATGGCTTGGCAGGCGCCCAGACCACGACCTAACCCCCAAATGTGTATAAATAGGAGTTCTCTCCTCATAAATGGCAATCTATCTACTCTTACTCTAACTTCTCTCTACTTTCTCTCTCTATATACTTCTTCTCTTTTTCTACTTCGGACGAGGCGGGGCGCCTACCCCCTCAAGGTCATGGCTGACACCCCAAACCCCTTGGACCCGAGCGACCCCCAGTCGATCGGGCTCAAACAATTGGCGCCCACCGTGGGGCCAAGCATGACTTTGAAAGACGCTTCCAACTCAAAGAAGGGAGAAGAAAGGAGTCTGGCACCTAGGAAGACCACTCTCAAGCAAGTTGTTGGTCGCGAGGCTATCAACCCTCAACCACTCACCATCCAAGGTTTGGAAGCATCCGACGACGACGATCCATCGGGAGACAGAGAAGGCACGGAGTGCCTGGAGGGCCAGCTAGCAAAGCTTCGGGAAAAGCAAACACTTCAAATGGCGAGCACGCAAGACCAACTAGACCAAGTCATGACCGTGTTGACGGCACTCACCAAGGCCAACGACCAGGCGCCTCCCAATTCACAAGAAGCAACGGAAGAGAGGAGGCGCCTCCGAGGAAAGATGCAGGGAGTCGAGGTGCCACCCATGAACTCCCCACGGGAGGGTGTAGGCGCCTCACCAGAAGAAGAAGCGTTCGAAGCTGATGACGCCGCCTTCCTAGAAAGGAAATGGAAATTCACTACTGCGGAAAGTGATCATAGAGAAACAAATGGAGTCTTCCTGGACTCGCTTCCTCCATCGAGGAGAAGCCTAAGCGCGTTACTTCCTTCTCAGGGGTACGCGTAGGAGAAATCGATTCTTGCTCAAGATATTCATCTTGGCAAAGCCTTTACCCGCGACTAGCGGAAGAGCCCTAGTGCTTACACGTGGATTTTTATCCGAGTGTCGGGCGCTCGTTTTACGAGTCCCCATGAGAGGCGATATTTTGTCCACATCCCTCGCAAAAAATTCCTGCCTTGACAGAAGGGGTCACCCAAACCCGCTTCCTCCGTCGAGGAGAAGCCTAAACGCGTTACCTCTTTTTCAAGGGTACGCACGGGATACTTAAGCTCGCTTCCTTCATCGAGGAGAAGCCTAAGCGCGTTACTTCCTTCTCAGGGGTACGCGTAGGAGAAATCGATTCTTGCTCAAGATATTCATCTTGGCAAAGCCTTTACCCGCGACTAGCGGAAGAGCCCTAGTGCTTACACGTGGATTTTTATCCAGGTGTCGGGCGCTCGTTTTACGAGTCCCCATGAGAGGCGATATTTTGTCCATATCCCTCGCAAAACATTCCTGCCTTGACAGAAGGGGTCACCCAAACCCGCTTCCTCCGTCGAGGAGAAGCCTAAACGCGTTACCACTTTTTCAAGGGTACGCACGGGATACTCAAGCTCGCTTCCTCCGTTGAGGAGAAGTCTAAGCGCGTCACCTCCTTTTCAGGGGTACGCGTGGGGAGACTTCAGCCACGCCATCGCAAAACGCAGTAGTCGGGGTCGTCAGAAGCTCGAAATTTGCCCGTTTCAGGCTCGAGCTCCACACTGGACATGTTACCCTCAAAGCTTTAGCTTTCCCTTTTAGAGGGAGCGGAGGCGCCACCCATAGAAGCTGATGGCTGCGAGTTATTAGACGCCATGGCAAAGAGAGAGGTGGGCAGAAAAGCGAGTCTTGGAGGAGAACCGGGTGCAACGCCGAAGCAGGTAACGCGCGGGCAAGAAACCGCTATTATGCCCCGTAACCTTAGGAGGAAAGGCGCCTTAGACGCCTTGAAACGGATAAACCTACATCGCAAATAAAGAATAAGACGAAAGAGGGGGAAGCACCGCTCGAGCAGGGAAACAAACAAACACCCGGTGAGCGCGTTCAAACAAAGGCGGAGGTAGCGCGCGGAGTCTCCTGATAGAGCAACTGTCGGGAAAATGAGAAGCTTAAACACGGCGCCTAACAAAAGCTCGGAGGGTGGCGCTCAAACAAGTAAGAGTTCAGAAAAGGAAAAATCTTGTAACAAAGACGGGGAGGCGCCTCCCCCAATTAAAGAAAAGGCACACGATGGCGCCGCCCCTGGTTCAAAGTTTCGCAAGGGTGTCGCCTAAGAAAGATTAAGCAGAGATTACCTACGCAAGTTCCGGAAGCGCTCAGCAAATGGAAGGAACGGCACCTGAGAAAAAAATACATAATTGTAGAAACAAGGCAGAGGCGCCTCCCCCAATTGAAGAAGAGGCGAACGACGACGCCACCCCTAGTTTAAAAATTGTAAAGGGTGGCGCCTAGGAAGAACAAAGCGGAACTCACCTACGCGAGCTCCGGAGGCGCCCAGCAAATGGAGGAACGACACATGAGAAAATACATAATTTTAGAAACGAGGAGGCAGAGGTGCCTCCCCCAATTGAAGAAAAGGCGAACGACGACGCCATCCCTAGTTCAAAAATTGTAAAGGGTGCCGCCTAGGAAAAACAAAGCGGAACTCACTTATGCGAGATCCGAAGGCGCCCAGCGAATGGAAGGAGTGTTGCCTGAGAAGGGCCAATAATTTATAGACAAGGGCGCGGAGGCGCCTCCCATGATTGAAGAGGAGGACACATGGCGAACGACGGCGCCACCCCTAGTTCAAAAATTGTAAAGGGTGGCACCTAGGAAAAACAAAGCGGAACTCACCTACGCGAGATCCGAAGTGCGCCTAGCGGATGGAAGGAGTGTTGCCTGAAAAGGACAAATAATTTTAGAGACAAGGGCGCGGAGGCGCCTCCCCCGATTGTAAAGGGTGGCGCCTAGGAAAAACAAAGCGGGACTCACCTACGCGAGATCCGAAAGCGCCCAGCGGATGGAAGGAGCGTTGCCCGAAAAGGGCCAATAATTTATAGACAAGGGCGCGGAGGCGCCTCCCATGATTGAAGAGGAGGACACATGGCGAACGACGGCGCCACCCCTAGTTCAAAAATTGTAAAGGGTGGCGCCTAGGAAAAACAAAGCGGAACTCACCTACGCGAGATCCGAAGGCGCCTAGCGGATGGAAGGAGCGTTGCCTGAAAAGGACAAATAATTTTAGAGACAAGGGCGCGGAGGCGCCTCCCCCGATTGTAAAGGGTGGCGCCTAGGAAAACAAAGCGGAACTCACCTACGCGAGATCCGAAAGCGCCCAGCGGATGGAAGGAGCGTTGCCTGAAAAGGGCCAATAATTTATAGACAAGGGCGCGGAGGCGCCTCCCCCGATTGAAGAGGAGGACACATGGCGAACGACGGCGCCACCCCTAGTTCAAAAATTGTAAAGGGTGGCGCCTAGGAAAAACAAAGCGGAACTCACTTACGCGAGATCCGAAGGCGCCTAGCGGATGGAAGGAGCGTTGCCTGAAAAGGATCAATAATTTTAGAGACAAGGGCGCGGAGGCGCCTCCCCTGATTGAAGAAGAGGACACACGGCGTCGCAATCCCTAATTCAAAAATTGTAAAGGGTGGCGCCTAGGAAGGGAGGGTAGCGCTTGCAAAAAATTAGGCACGAAATAAGTTACCTGAAGCAAGGGGGTAGCATCGGCAAAGGAGTGAGTCTCCAGGCACCCAACTGAAGGTTAGGCACCTCGCCGAAGGAGTGAGGTGCCAGGCGCTCCACTGAAGGTTAGACACCTCGCTGAAGGAGTGCGGTGCCAGGCGCCTCGCTGAAGGAGTGAGGTGACAGGCGCCCAACTAAATGTCAGACACCTCGACAAAGGAGCAAGTCGCCATGTGCCTCACTGAAGGTTAGGCACCTCGCTGAAGGAGTGCGGTGCCAGGCGCCTCGCTGAAGGAGTGAGGTGACAGGCGCCCAACTGAATGTCAGACACCTAGGCAAAGGAGCGAGTCGCTAGGCACCTCACCAAAGGAATGAGGTGTCAGCCGCCGTATCAAAGGTCAGGCACCTCGACAAAGGAGCGAGTCACCAGGTGCCCCACTGAAGGTCAGGCACCTCGTCGGAGGAGTGAGGTGTTAGGCGCTCCACTGAAGGTTAGACACCTCGTTGAAGGAGTGCGGTGCCAGGCGCCTCGCTGAAGGAGTGAGGTGACAGGCGCCCAACTAAATGTCAACACCTAGGCAAAGGAGCGAGTCGCTAGGCACCTCACCAAAGGAGTGAGGTGTCAACCGCCGTATCAAAGGTCAGGCACCTCGACAAAGGAGCAAGTCACCAGGTGCCCCATTGAATGTCAGGCACCTCGTCGAAGTAGTGTGGTGTCAGGCGCCCAACTGAAGGTCAGGCACCTCGGATAATACTTGGAGAAGGTCTACAAGAAGAGTAGTGACACTGAAGGTCAGGCACCTCGCTGAAGGAGTGAGGTGCCAGGCACCCAACTGAAGGTCAGACACCTTGGCAAATGAGCGAGTCGCCAGTCACCTCGTTGACTTTGTGTCTTAAGGTTACAAACGACAAGCTGGATGACAAATGCTTATCAAAGACATAAGCGAAGGAGTGAGGCGCCAGGCACCCCACTGAAGGTCAGGCACCTCACTGAAGGAGTAAGGTGCCAAGCGCCCAACTGAAGGTCATACAGCTCGGCAAAGGAGCGAGTCGCCAGACATCTCGTTGAGTTTGGGTCTTAGGGCAACTAACGACAAGCTGGGTGACAAGTGATTAGCCAAAGAATCGAAGCAAGCACTCTTCTACAATAGCACAAGTAATCGAAAGAAAAATGTAGCATCTCAGACAATGAAAGGAAAGTATTTGAATATCATTGGTATCTTTTGGCAAAAAGAAGAAAATGGGAAAAGAGCGCTAGGCGCTCGTTTCAAATGGGCAAGGCACAGGGTGTTCAAAGGAAAACTGACAAGTTTGTTTCAATTTCATATGATTGTCAAGATAGATTGAATCCTCTAACACGAGCATAGGCGCATCCTCTAAGATGAAAAAGTGGTCACTTGGGAAATAATTAATGAAGAACGGAAGAATGCAAGCGTCAAGCGCTGGATAAAAGGGGCATGATTGCTTCTTTAGCTAGTCTTCGTTACTTGAGACATGTGTTTATTCTTTCTCATTTTACTACATCTTATTTGGAAGCAAGCACACCCACGCGGGTGCACAAGCACTCAACAGATCAGAAGATTAATAAGGGAATGAAGCACCCGCTTGAAAGGAAGATCCTGGTGCCGATTAAGTAAAGAAAGAGAGCTGGCACTTGATTGAGAAGACGAGAAAGCAAGGGTATGAAAGTAAAGTATAATACTTGGAGAAGGTCTACAAGAAGAGTCCAAGAGAATCCAAGACATAGGGGCAAAACCCTAGAAGACTTACATCATCAGAAGAAGAAGACAAGGTTAAGAGACAAGACCAAGGGACAAAGCCAGGCACCTGACATCAGCAAAGACAGAGTATGAGGGGACACCCTCTGCCAAAAAGTACAATGTACAGTGTCAGAAGAGGACAGACTGGTTTGACGATACCGCAATACTTGCGCCATCGCCAAAGGGGCAATTGATAGGGTACATTAGCAATCCCCAAGGCAAGAGCCTAGTTAATGACATAATGAAGAAAAGAAGACAAAGGGAAAAAGACAAGGCCAAGAGACAAGGAGACAAGTCCAGGCACCTTACATCAGCAAAGACTAGGGGCAGGGGGACACCCCCTGCCAAAAGTACAATGTACAGTGTCAGAGAGTCTGAGGCGCCCGACCACTGCATTTATGGCTTGGCAGGCGCCCAGACCACGACCTAACCCCCAAATGTGTATAAATAGGAGTTCTCTCCTCATAAATGGCAATCTATCTACTCTTACTCTAACTTCTCTCTACTTTCTCTCTCTATATACTTCTTCTCTTTTTCTACTTCGGACGAGGCGGGGCGCCTACCCCCTCAAGGTCATGGCTGACACCCCAAACCCCTTGGACCCGAGCGACCCCCAGTCGATCGGGCTCAAACAAAATAAAAATCTACAATTTCTAATAATCATAAATGAAAGAGAATAAAAATAGTGACATGTTCCAATTAATTGTATAAAATCCTCTGTTTTGAGAACCGGACCGGAGGCTGAACCGGAAAAGTTAGTGGTTTAAGGGTTCATTGGTTAACCGTTACAAAACCGTTGGTGAACCGTTGATAGAACCGTTAATGATATATAACATATAAGACTTGTATATTACACTAATTTAAGAATGAAATTATCATTGACCATAAACAAGTTCAAATTCATATCATCACGAAATTATCTAATAAATCATTCCAACCATCTTACAAAAGAAACCACATTTTTTTAATTCAAATTAAAAATTACAGTTCTAGTTGGTAGTAGACAATGTAAAATCGACAATAAGGTTGAGGAAGCATATATAAAATTAATAATTATGATTTGATGGTCTTAGTTTATGTTAAAATATTTTTTTTTGTTAAAATAGTGAACCAATGGACCAGTTAAACCGTGTCGGTTCATCTGATTTTATGTTGAACCGTGAAAACCGTTTGGTCCATCAATAACCGTTCAAACAATGAACCGGACCGCTATCGTAACTGGTTTGACGGTTCTACTGGCCCGACCGTTGATCCGGTTCGGTTCTTATAACAAGGATAAAATCTGTACAATAGATTAATAATTTTATTAAATGTGTAATGAGTAACATATGTACTGTTGATCAAGGTAATATGGCTGGTGGATTGGTTTGGTGGAAAATGGATTAGATTGGTGGATTCATGAATTTGGATCAAATGAACTGGTGATTCGGAATTTTAACAAATGAATTGGTGGATTCATGGTATGGATCAAATAGATTAGTGGATTGGATTCATACATCCAAATTCCAAGTGGTATCTTAACATTGGACAAATACAACTTTTTTAAAAAAATTTAAGTACTAAAATGTCATAACAAAAATGTTTAGGTACCAAAATATAGTTTTTTGAATGATGTTTTATATTGAAAATAAAATTTAGGTATCAATTGTAAATATAAAAAATAGAGATAGTAAACTGTAATTTACCAACAATTCATGAATAAGCCAATATAATTGAATTTAGATTCAATAGATTGAATTAAAAATAAACTAGATTAATGGAATATTTTGATGGATGGATCGCATGTATTAGATTGATGGGTCGACACTTAGTTTATTCTTACAAGATTTTAAAATCAGACGGTGACTTCTAAAAAAACAATTTTGTAAGTCCAAATTTATGGTAGGATTTGACAAGATTTCCTCCATCTAAATCGACATTTTAGCTAGATTTTCACACGCAAGTGGACGATTTTAACTATTCCGATCGACTTCAATCATCATCGTCAGCAAAATATAATAATAACAGTACCTTTGCAGCGCAGGGGGACGCCCATCTTGCAGGCCTTGGGGAGGGAGACGGAGGGAGTTCGGCCAAAGGGCAGCTGAATGGGGACGTTGGCGGTGAGCAAAAGGCAGGCGCAGTCCATGCTCGCCGCCACCACGTCCTTGAGCGCCCCGCAGCAGCTGGCCGTCGGCGATACTCCGTTGCCGCTGCTCCCCGTCACGAAGTTGACGCAAGGCGTGAAGCTGGTCACCATCGAAGCCGTGCACGGCGTGCTAATCTGCGCCCTGATCAACGCTGGAACCATCATCATCATTACTGCTACTGCTACTACCAGCCGACACATCCCGAGCTTCACGCCTTCCATCTTCATTGATTGGTATATATTTGCGAGCTAGCTTGCTACTGTATTTATTTATGAATTGGTAGCAAGGAGAATATAGGAATGGAGGAAAGGGTCGTTTTTTGGAGTTGAACCACTAGAACTAACTTGCTTTTCTTTGTGTTCCTTCTGGATTGGGTTTTTGGCCACTGTGAGAAGTAAAGAGCTGTGGAAGGTGAGCGAGGGTGTTGAGAGTAGGTGGGTTAGGCGTGGCGTTTTTGGGAGAGGAAGTTGGTTTTCTTTCTCAACAATAATCACTTCGTCGCAAAAAGGGAAAGTTGGTTCGAGCTCTCTTGGATTTCCTTTCGTCAATACCAAAGCTCAACTGGGTAACTAGGGTAGCAGTAAATATATGTGTTAATTAGTTACTCTTGTCAATTTTGCGGCAGTGATGGCATGCAGTCATATTGCACACGTTTACGGTGTTTTATTTTTTATTCATCCTTCCTGCGCTTCGGTTGTGTTTGAAGATGTCATGCTCGATGAGTGAATTCTGTACGCAATGACTTAAAATGCCGCATGAACCTTGTGTATAGTTCGCTCATCAGAATTCACATTCTGATTCAGTTGGCAGCCGCCCTATCATACTTAGTAATGATAACAAAACTCGAACCGACGGGTACCCTATCCGACCCAACTCGATCAACGCGGGTAAAACCTAAAGTTGGATATACGGGCGGATCACCCGCGGGTTTGGGCCGACCCAACCGCATTTGACCCGAATTTTATTATGTGGGTGGGTCTATGGGTGGGTGGCGTTGGGAATCATCCGCCGGGTGACGGGTGGGTTGTGGGCGGGTCCGCGGGTGACCTGCTCAACCCAACAGCAAAAAGAACAAAGTCGTTGGCTCTGTAGAGGGGAGATTGGAGACGTTAGACGGAAACTAGGGATGCTCTTGGAGATTGAACCTCAAAACCAACCTTTCAAATAGCGATCCCCTCTTTTCCCTTTATTTTTTCCTCTGATTCTTGTGCCTAGATCACCTCTCTTTCTTCCGTTGAATTATTTTTCTTAGTTTCCTGCACTTGATAATCATCTCCATCTGTAGAAAACTCCTCCATAATAGATTTTCTATTCAATTTCAGAACTAACTCGACATTTAATTTTTTCCCCTATTCCATCTTCTTGTTTCCACACGATAACTCTCTCCAGCGATTATCTTGTCAAGTTGACTCCTTTATATTATATACATTGTGATGTGGGTGAACCTACAAACTCACCCGCATCATCCATCATCCGCCCGACCCAACCCGAGACTAAATGCGGGTGGGTGGTGGGTTGAAAATTATTAATCCATTTAAGCACGGGTGGGTGCGTTTTATGGTAAAATCCGCCCGACCCACCCGATGCCCACCCCTAGTAAAACCCATGTTGATGGGTTTTAGGTCGGGTTCGGGTTTAAACCCGTGCACTATTCACCGGGCTGGATTTGGATTTAGGTATACCCGCCCCATGGGTATTCGCCCACACCCATATAATTAATTTTCCCGATATATTTAATACTCTAAACAACTAATCTTCTTTATATGTTTGTGGAGACATGTCTAATTTTTTCTTTCTAATTGTGTACAATGAAGTTGATATTATCGAGTGGAGAGTGAAGAAGTTTAATTGACAACGAGGAATAAACTTTCAATTGATCATGTTGTTTATGGATAATTTGTGATTTTGTTTCTTCTTTTGCTTGGTGTGTCTCCGCGCGCATTGGCTTTAATTTTATTTATTTATTTATGAATAAGGTGTTTTATTTATGAAGAAAGGAACGACAGAGTGTCATCCTAACAGAAAAATCTTCAACCCCCATTACAAAGTTCATCAGACAATTGGATTACAAGATAAAACAACAACAAAGAGCCTAATCAGACATTTACAAACACTATCTAATTGGCAACACTATCTAACAGCCTATCAGAAAAAATCAAAGCAGCAACAGGGACACCACATTTTAGCAGTCTTAGGAGATCCTAGATCTTCTTTACCAGTTGTTCTTCTACAAGGAGCTTGCCATCATAAAGCCTTCTGCAACGCTCCCTCCATAATTCGTTTACCATCATTATCCATACCATTATGTTATACTTGGCTAAATTTGTTTCTGCCTTGAACCTTGTGACTGCCTGATGCGGTGATCCATTCCAGTTACTACAAAAGAGGGAAGAAGCGCCTGGAATCACATGTAGAACTTTCCTGGAGTAAATGCACATTTTTCCTTTTCTTTCACTCACTGTGTTGGGTCTTCATCCTTCGAGCGTCAGTTGCAAGGGGTGGAAATCGGTACGGTATCGGTATCCCAATACCAAATACCGAAATCCCGAATACCGAATTACACTCTGAAATCAATCACAATCCCAATCCCTAAATAATTCCGGTATCCCAATCCCAATCCCTAAATATTTCGGTATCCCAATCCCAATCCCTAAATATTTCGATATCCCAATCGGTACCTCGTATCCCAATCGGTATAAGCAAATACAAAATTAATTACGTTTGCCATTAATAATTAAATATATAAATTAGATTTTATTGTTTAATTTAGGGCAAAGAGACTAAGCAAAGAGTCTTAAGTTGCCTAGAGCTAACATCTCAAGTTTTTGTAATTGATAATCTTTAATTTGATGAATTTGAGGTTGAGAGACGACTAATACTAGTGTGAAATAGTGATGTAATGATCTATGTATAATTAAATGACACTCTTGGTGGTTGAGGGTCGCGTAGTAGTGAATGAGAGAGTCTAGTTGAGAGGATAAAATACACATTAGCTTATATTTCGGTATTGATCGGTATTTCGGTATATACCGATCCCAATCCCGTTATCCCTAATACCGAATAACAATTGAAACCCAATCCCAATCCCACAAAATAATATGTGTATTCGATAATACCAAATTTAGACAAATTCGGTACGGTATTCGGTATATCCCAAATACCGGTACCAAACATCCAGCCCTAACTGCACTACTTCTAGACGAGTGCTTTGGAACTTTTTCTCATATTACTTTCTTGAGCATAATTAGTATTTTGCATTCGACGCTAGGCTTGAATCCCATCCGGAAAGCGTTCTTCGCCTCTAAAGGGGAAGAGAGGTAGAAGGTTGATGTGACGTCTGCAAAATCTTCTCCTTCTCGTTGGAGTACCGATATGTGCATGGCTCTGGCCGGCGAAGTTGTCAGAATATCACTATTGTTTTTTTTCTTCTTTCTTCTCTTTTCTTGATTTACAGGTTCACTCGCTGACATCGACGTTGGTGGAGACGGACGACCGAGCCACGATCGGTGATGACGTCTAGCCTTGCCGGCGGGATTTTTGTTGCTTCTCTGATTTTCTCTTTTGTTGTTTCTTGGCAAATTTGGTGATGGAAAAATACATGGAGGGGGGAAATGTCGCCGCTGACAGGGACTAGCAGCTAGGCGGACATGGGATGAGAACTATTGATGTTGGTGGTTCGCGCTCTCCTCTTTTCCATTTCACATCGATAGATCTGGATCTTTCTTCTTCATGGTCATTCTTGCTCTTGGCAGGGTCTTGAACCTAGAAATGCTATTTTCATTTTCCCTTGCTTTACTAGAAAATCTTTCTTTTTCCCTGCTGCTTCCATGATTGTTGGATTCAGCAGGTTTCATCCTCCCTCATAATTTGAACAATAGAATATCCAAATCGAGCCTCACGGTGGACGCCAAACTGTTTGATCGTGGAAAATACCCAAGGCTAATATAATAATAATTGGGAGGGGGTCCGATCTGGTCTCCCTTGCCGATCTCTTCGGGAGGTGAGGAACCTGTGAGGAGGAGAAGGGCGACCCCCAAGATCTACGCTCCGATGCCCAAATCAATACGGAATATAATAATGGTGTATGTGGAATTAGAGAGAGAGAGTAGAGAGAGAACCGTATGTGAAGAGTGTAGGAAGGGAAGAGAGCATTCTTTGACATGGAGGCATGAGCCTCCTTATATAGGTGCTTGAAACTTCTTTGGAGTGGGCTTGGGTCCGACATAGAATGGTCATGTGGTGGGCTTGGGCCCATTGATGACGTGTTATTTGTCGTATTAGTCAAATTAATACCACACCCAACAATAATACTACATGTAAACCCAAAGTTATTTTCTCAAATATAGTGTATATGTGCTATGACGAGGAAGCTATAGATCACAACGGTAATTAAGCACATAGAATAGGCAAAAAGCTTCCTTTTTTTGGTTATTTGGAATTAGTAAGTTAAAGCCCGCACACATTATGAACAGAGGTGGATTCAATTTGGGGAAAAAGTTGTCATCAGGGCATTAACTATCGTCCACTCAAAGGAAAGCGACCAAGAGGAAGATGGTGATGAAGAACAATGTTTGGAGTGAAGGTCACCAAGAACTTGGTTTGGATTTCAGATCTCGAAAATTTATTGGTAGATTCGAAGAGCAACGACGACGTTTACAGTAATTGAAGTCGTTGCAGCCATCAACTAGTCAAAGCCCCAATTGTCGAGATAGATCCTCCACCACTGAGGAAGAGGAGAAGGGTTGAGGGGCATTCACAACAACAGATGGAAGGGGCCTTTGGATCTTCTTTTTTTAGTGCTTTCATTATGTTCAACATTTAAAAATGTCATCAACATTGCTGGAATCGTTGTTCAATTTGATATAACGGTTTTGGCTAAATTACACGTTTAGTCACTCGAATTATACAAATCTTTCACGTTTTCCATCCACATTACTTTTCTTTCTTATTCGCTACTAACTTTACGAATTGTTTTACTATTTTACACTCTGTTAAATTTGTCCTACGTGGCAGTCAACTATAAAGTTTGACCGTTAACTAGATGATGTGGAAAATAAAAAATAAAAAAAATTTATTTATCCACATCATCATTTCACTTACTTAGTCTTTATCATATCAATTATTTAACAAAAATTAATAAATTACAAAAGGTATGGGTGGAAAACACTAAAAAAGTTGAAGATTTCATGGTCGTCGAAGCGCCTGATTGCATCTCGTATCTGCCAGATGAGTGCTTGTCTGTCATTTTCCAATCGCTGAGCTACGCTGACAAGAAGAGGTACTCACTGGTCTGCCGCCGGTGGCTCATGATCGAAAGTCATAGCCGCCATCGCCTCTCGCTCAATGCGTATGCCGATCTCCTCCCACCGGTGCCAATGTTGTTCACTCGCTTCAATTCTGTCAACAAACTCGCCCTGAAATGGTAGCGCAGATCCACGAGCATCGGCGACAGGAAAACAAAATGACACACTACAAAGCTGAACAACTATCTATATAAGAGCCTCCACATCCTCTGCATCCATCACAAGACCTCCTCACTCCCCATTTGAGATCCCAATCCCATCCTACTTTCTTAAAGAAACAGTGAAACAAAATGGCAGCCTCCCTTTCCCTCCCAAATCACTAATACTACTTTTCATCATCGAAATAGGGGTCTCCCAGCTTGCAGCATCCAGAGATCTCCAGAGATTTATCCTCCTGCTGATAATTTATTTTTGTATTTATTTTTGTAATTTTTATTAATTAATACTATGATAAATCACAAAGTAAGTGGTATGATGAGGTGGAAAAATAAATTTATTTTTAAATTTTTTAAATTTCCATGTCATCTAGTTATCGGTCAAACTTTATAGTTGACTGCCATGTAGAACAAATTAAGCAGAGTGTAACGACCGGTGACTAACGGTGAAACGATTCGTAAAGTTAGTGGCGAATAAGAAAAAAAAAAGTAATTCGGGTGGCAAACGTGAAAGATTTGTATAATTCGAGTGACCAAACGTGTAATTTAGCCTAACGGTTTTGGGATGAAAATTTTAAGGGAGGAGTATGTTTGAGGACAAAATACACTTCCATAGCCACAATTTTCACGTTTGTGATAGATATAGCCACAACTTTCAAAATACACGAAATAGCGAGAATTTTGATAGTTGTTTGACAAATTTAGTCATTTCCATTACAAACTTTAACGGTGTTAGAGATTCTGTTAGTTAGGTTAATAGCACGCTGACTAGGATGCCAAATTGACGCACACGTCAGCGACAACTCAGCCTCACTTGCCATGTAGATGCCACGTCATAATTTACTTTTAAAAAATAAGGCAAAATACACTTTCATTGCCACAACTTTCATTTTTGTGACAAGTATAGCAACAACTTTTGAAATACAAGAAATAGCCAGAAGTTTAATGGTTTTTTTGACAAATCTAGCCATTTCCGTTACAAACTTTCGAAATACACAAAACAGTCGCGACCGTATCCTCGATTTCTTCTTAGGGCTCTGCTTGAGAGGGAATGCAACGAATCAGGCCAATTGATAGCGATGAATCGAGCTTCACCGAAAATAAGAACAACCATTCAATGCACTACGAGCTGCCACATTCTTCCTTCCCGACCCATCGTTCTTTGTCGCCATCGAAGACATTGTCTCCGCCTTCATCGTCGTTGTTAGCTTCTTCTTCGTGGTCGTTGTTAGCTTCTTCCCATCATCCTTCTTTCCCTCTTTCTCGCCATTTTTCTGTGACCCCCCCCCCCCCCCCCAAGCGCTCAAGGCTTTCTTCTCCAGTCATACTGTTAAGTGACACCGTTAAATGAATGGATGGAAGTGGTTATTTTGTGTATTTCAAAAGTTGTGACTATGACTATCACGAAAGTGAAAGTTGTGGCTATAACTGTCACAAACGTGAAAGTTGTGGCTACAAAAGTGTATTTTGCTTTTTTTTGTTAATACACGTGGATCGCCAACTCAGCACTTCCGTCAGTCCAGTCATACTATTAAGTGACACCATTAAAAAGATGGATAAAAATAACTATTTTGTATATTTCAAAAGTTGTGGTTATATTTATCGCAAACGTAAAAATTGTTGCTATAAGCGTATTTTCAATTTTGGCTATGTTTGAGAATTGTTCATTAGGGGCGTGTTTGACATGATTCATAGAAAAGGTACGTTTGAGAAAACTGCTAAAATATACCTACAAGGCTACAACCCAATAAAAAAATATAACCCCTCCTCTCCTTCCTGTTCCACCGCCGATTGTACATCTCTCTAAATTTCCTGCATTTCCAAATCCTTAACCTTTCTACGACGACAATCTTTTTTCCGTCTCTTCTGCTACCTTCGATTTCACTGCTTCATTTCATTTGATCGCCGATCCAAAATCACATCGCTACCCTGCGCACAAACTCACAGCACAGCCAAAAGGTTTCTCTGCTGCTGCGTCCTCCTTCCAACTGCGGTGCTCGCTAGTGTCCCCGCAATTCATCCTCACGCCGAGAATTTAAGCAGCCGTAGCTTCCAAAGGTAAGCCACGTCTCAATCTCTGTCTATCTGTGAATTGGTGTTTCGCACCGCGAAGAATTTGTTCCGTTTTCAAGGCACTTAATTCCGCTGGATGCTAAACCTATAGCCAGTGTCGTCTGCGTTCTGGGTGTGCGGGGAAATGTTGTTTTTTCTTTTGTTCCGGTGTTTGCACGGTCTGTTTATGGGTGCTCCCAACTCCCGATTTTGGGAGCTTAGACTTGCGGCTTTTGATGACATCTTGAGTTTCGTGCGAGTTTTTACTTGCTGGTGAATTGGCGCTGTGGGAATTGAGTTCGATGGGTGTGTGTCTACAGTTTAAAAACTTAATCTATGTTTATGTTTGCAATTCTAACTTGGAAAGTGAGATCAATGGTTGTGGGGTTCCCCAGAACTTCAAATGGCTTTCGGACCTATTATTGGCATGCTCAATTGTTGGAGTGGGACAAATTATTTTGTTCTTAACTATTGAGCCGAAGACTCTGTGTTCCAAAAGCTTAGTCTCAACCATTTTAAACTGGTTCCTTTGAAGTGGTGAACTTATCATCTCAATTGCCTGAGGTGTTGTATATGGAATTGGCTTGAGTCATTGTTGTTAGCCACTGGAGGGATTTAAGCAGTTGGATAAATATTGATACTGGTTGTTGGGCTTCAGGTTTGCCCATATGTCAAGAGATGTGAACTTGATTGTGCTAACATAGTTAGGCAGACAATTGGAGTCTTGATTGCGAAATGCTGGCATAAGGGAGAGATTCATCAGAGTAATGGAATCAATTATTTATGCATGTATACATCTGACAGCATAGAACTCTATCAGTTGAGGACAACGTGACAATATGAAATAAGTTATGCAATTTAGAACTTTCATTTTGCTATTAGTCTTTTATCCTGCTGATGCTTCCTCACTTAGAACTCCTTCTCCTCTTCATTTGGTTTAGATGGTAGTAGAAGACTTGCTGAGAAAAATGCTCTGCACAGTGCAGGTGCTCTTTCTGGTTTTCCGTGCTTTCCATTTCACTTTTGGCTTCTTCCAGTCCTGTGGTCCATGATTTTGGGATGTCGGTTCTGTCAAGCTTGTGGGACTTATCATTTTAAGATACAAGAAAATGGAATCTCTGCAATTATATGGTTGCTGTTGCCGAGAAAGAATTTCTTATAGCTGACACTGGAAAGATATGATTGTCACATACTGCTCTTTTTCTCCTTCCGGGACCCTTTTTTTTTCAATTGAGCCTACTTTCAGCAATAATAACATTTTTTTCTCTTGCTGCTATTACCATCTGGGGTGACTCTTATCTAGTAATCTTTTTAGGCTTCAAGTTGTTGCCTAATTTTGCAGCCAGAGAAAGGAACTGCTGGTTCTGTTCTTGTTACAATTGAACTGAATTTTTCGCCAGTACATGGATTTATTCAAATGTTCACAAAAAAAAGCACATATTATATTTTACAATTAGGTTACTCATGGTGAAATTTCACTCTATCTTAGCACAAGCGACGAATTCATCGCGGTTTCAAGATGCTGGGAGTAGCAACTTGTCAAGCTTAGCAATGTGGTTTTTTTCATTCTTTCTGTATACGTCCCTTTTGTGGTTTGCCTCTGTTTTGAACTCAATTAAAAGATTGAGAGATTATGACAGGTAGAAGTGCTATCATTTGCCGAAGTGAGTGCCTATTAACATTTCATTAACCATTTACCGTTTGAATCGATTTTGCTAATCCATATGTAGCACCATTCATTCTGAGTGATGTTTTTGGTTGAACAGAATTCAGGCCAGTACAATTGAAGATATCATGTTATTGCAAACTTACTTTTCCCCCCTTGTAACTGCTACATGTACCACCATGGAAATTTAAATGACTGGTTTCTGTGGTGTTTGAAAATCTTAAGGAGCGATAGGCTATATTCTAAAAACTCGGTATAATATGGTAATATGTTATGTCCCACACAATCAGCTTATAAATGCAAATGGCCAAATTTTGCAATTTACAAGGACATACAATGTAAATGATGCATACTAGATAGAGTGCCATAGGATTCAGGAAGCCCGTCTGTTATGTTTTTAAACTCCCTTTTGGAGTTTTATGAGTTTCAGTGATATTTGTTCATGTTATGGACTACTGATCTCGGAATTCTGAAAGCTTTACTTGTCCATTACTGACCATGTTTCTACCCTTCTTATCTCAGATATTTTGTCAATATATTCATCCAATATGATACCAACTTCCTATCAAAGAACTACTGTGGACGGATGAACCAATGTTTAGTATGTCTCAATTGATTGAAGGTCTTCCCGACGCTGTTGCCATCAGGTGCATTGCACGAGTCCCCTTTTACCTGTTCCCCAAATTAGAGCTTGTCTCTCGTTCCTGGCGATCTGCCATTCGCAGCTCTGAGCTCTATAAAGCCCGACAAGAGGTAGGCTCAACAGAGGAGTTGCTTTGCGTGTGCGCTTTTGAACCTGAGAATTCATGGCAGCTTTATGACCCACTCCGAGAGCTTTGGATTACTATCCCTGTTCTACCATCCAAAATTAAGAATCTCGCTCATTTTGGTGCTGTCTCAGTTAGTGGGAAGCTGTTTGTACTTGGTGGGAGCAGTGATGCTGTTGACCCATTGACTGGGGATCAAGATGGAAGCTTTGCAACCAGTGAGGTATGGTCATATGACCCTGTGATTCGAAGTTGGGCCCGGCGGTCATCCATGCTCGTGCCGCGTGCAATGTTTGCATGCTGCGCTCTGAATGGTAAAATAGTAGTGGCAGGAGGTCTCACTACATGTCGGAAATCGATATCTCGAGCTGAAATGTATGACCCTGAGAAGGATGTGTGGTTCCCGATACCCGATCTTCATAGCACTCCAGATTCTGCTTGCACAGGACTTGTTATTGGGGGAAAGTTGCATGTTTTGCATAGAGGCCTTTCGACCGTGCAAGTCTTGGAGGGTGTAGCAGCATCTGGGTGGAAGGTTGAAGACTATGGATGGCTGCAAGGTCCAATGGCGGTCGTTCAAGGTGCTCTTTATGTGATGAGCCATGGACTGATTTTGAAGCAGGAGGGCAAAGCGAGGAAGGTAGTAGTTTCAGCATCCGAGTTTAGAAAGAGGATTGGGTTGGCTTTGACCAAACTTGGGGATGACATATATGTGATTGGAGGGGTTATTGGCCCCGACGGATGGAATCGGGAAATCCAGCCGTTGTCAGATGTTGATGTGTTGACTGTTCTTGGGGAAAGGCCGACGTGGCATCGAGCAGCTCCAATGACTAGTTGCCGTGGAACTATTTTAGGATGTACACAGCTGAGAATCTAAGGTCTCTGCTTTGGGGGGAGGGTTTCTTTTTCTTTTGTGCTTCCTGTTTTGTTGTGAAATGGTGGTGGTGATGTTGTTGACTCCCTGCTTGGACACAAAGGGAATGACAATTGTTCTCTGGTTGTCTGCCTATCCAGTTCCTTGGTTATTGCCCTGTATTGATTCTTTTTTCTTTTTGTGGGGGAAGTCCCTCCTATCTCCTGTGAGGGACAAAGGCAACAACTGATGTTGAATCCGGCTTCAACGAGCACCTCAGTTGTACCTTGAAGTTTGTTGGAGGATTTACTTACTGCTGACATAAGCCATTGTTATTTATTCTTTGTACTTCAGTGTATCCTATAGCAAACAAATGTATTTTTTCATCTGTCGCTCCTCTTGTTGCTAGGCCCTCTTACCTCGAACCCAGCTTCAGTGTATCCTATAGCATAGACAAATATACTTGTTTACGGTTTATGCTATTGGCTTCTTTTCCTATTTGATAGTTTATGCCTTGCTTATAGGCCATTCAAATTTCCATCTTCATTCTAACTGGCTCTATGTTAGTTATGCTTACTTTTTTTTTATTACCATTGCAGTGGTAAATGGTTGGCCAAAGCTCTAATGTCATACCATTACAATATGTAGGTTACACTTGGAGTTGACAATGTTTCCTTGCTTTGCTATATATATGCTGGTCTCTAACTGTTGGTTAATGCAACAGGTCCTCGGAGAAGAGAGTGAGTGCAGTTTCCATACGCAACGATGGGCTGTATTTGTCTTTTGCTGACAAATTTGGAGTTGTCTGGGTTGTAGTATCCATGATCTAGATGTCAATGGAGCTTTCTCTAATAGGAAGGCAGCACCTTTTCTGGCTCATTACTGCAGCATTATTATGAGACTGGTTTGTTATTGTTTAGTGGCTCCTTCTTTGGTATCTAGATTTACTATTTAACTGCTGAGCTAACTGTTAATTACTCTCTACTTTCTCTGCAGGAATTTTCACCGGATGGATGCTTTATAGTTGTGCAATTCTTATTTACTTGTTTTGAACGCAGGACTTTGAGAGTCTGGTGGAGACGAGGAGAGCTGCTGTACAGGATAGTAATCTTGTTGCAGTAGCCATTCAAGGGCGAGTCTCTAATCACTATAAACTTTTGTTCCATGTTATTTGAACTTTTGTTCAGTTGACGTGTTAGCGCTTTTCTGCTGATGGTTGATTTATTTACCATTTTAGCTTGCAAGGAGTAATTTTGTTGGGCTGTGACTTCTCTTCTAAAGCATTAAATCTTGCCAAGGTAAGGACTGAATGCGATCGTTCAGGGAATGATGATGGTGTTAGATCACCCTTCTCTGCATTCAGTATATTTGTAAATAACGCCAATTCGCAAACACATGTTGAGGAAAAAACCCGATCCCCAGTCTCTTGATCACCACGAGCCTGTTGTTTTGGGATATGAAGAAATTCCTGGTAGCCGGAAGCTGCTTGAGAAGTTGCATGGAAGTTTCTCGATTGACCAAAGTGTTTTCTCAGCGGCTGCTCAAGCACTGCAATGTGCAATTTGTTGATTAAGAAACAGTATCCAACAGAGAACAAGGAATTCAGGAAGAGAACTAGAAACGATGGAAGGCCAAACAGTAGGATCGGATGGATTGTCGACCCTACTTACCTGCCCATGGGATCGTCAACATTTGGAAAGAATCAGATACTTTGATGCTATTTAGCTGTTTGATTCTGGGGAGTACTCGTAGCGTTGCTGCTTTTAGTCCGGTGTTGTATTGTAGCGCTTCTATTCTTACACCACATGAGCGACCTGTGAGTGGAAAGAAGCACGCTTGAGAAGCGTACATTTTTCTTCGGCAGCTCTAAAGTCAGGCTCTCGTATCTATTTTATTTTCTTGTTTCCTGAAGTGACTCAAAATTGTATTGATAATCAAACGGACGGGATTAAGAGATGTTACATGTGACATATATGACCTAGCCGGCAGTACTACTATTGATTTTTTTTACAATAATGTTATTATTATTGCTATTACGTTGTTAGTTTCATTTTATATGAAGATTATTTAATGACTAATTTGCCCAGTCTATCTCACCACCTCGTCGTCCTCCACCGCTTCATTGCCACCTCCATTCCTGCCACCGTGCCCTGCTCATCGCTGCCGGCAATTGCTCTAGTCCCCGTGGGACGGGGACTAGAGCAGAACCAAGGTAAAAAAAATTTAAGAGGCGAATTAAAGAGATTAAAAGGGGGAAGAAGAAGCAGATGGAGATCGAGAGACGAGAAGGGAGGGGACAGAGAATTTTGAAGTGGGGTCGACCGTCGACGCAATCAGGAAGGAGGAGGCGGAGAACACGAGGGGCGGATTCATCATTTCAATGGGATGCCACAATCCATTTGAAAAATCTGGCCCATTTTTAAGTCTCAAGTCCAAACTAAAAGGGCGGGCTTTTCATATGGGATTTGGAAAATGGTTTCTTTGGGAGTTTATTTCAGTTTTTATGGCCACCAACGGCCCATAATCCACCTACGACCCATTCACACATGGCAATGTGTTTGGTAACCCATCACAAATTCCCTCTTTAGTGTTGGATAGGAGTCATAAATCGTCATTCACAATAGTTCTTATGTCTCACTTTCATCTAGTGGCAAATTCCATTTGTTGGTAAGAAAGTAAGTCTTCATCAAGCAACATCAAGAGTGAAGAACATAACGACTCAAGATTTAGTCGTCCTTTCACTTACCTTTGTTGGGGTGAAAGATAGTTTCCGTCAACAAAGGCAGTCGAGCCACGAAAAGAAGCAGTCCCGATTAGGTTATTACCTTGACATTTTTAGACGGTTGTACGATCCAAGAAGAGATCTCCCCCTCGACGTCCAAAAGGCAAATACGATCCAACAAAAGATCGGGCCCTCAGCTTCACGAGGCAAGTCATGATCAGATCGTCCCCTCGATGAGACGGTAGTAGGATCCAAGAAGCAATCTCCCCCTTGGCGTTCAGATTGCAGTCGCGATCCAAGAAAAGATCGTCCCCTCGTCATTCATTAGTGGGCAAAGATCAATTATTATTCACCTTTCAAACTGGGCATTCATAGTGTTCATGCTCCAACTTGAGGGGGAGAATAGGGAGGATATTGCAAGGAATGCTAGCCAGCCAAGAAGCCACGACATATCCCAAATTGAAGTTCCATCGAAAATCTGAAGGGAAAGCCAACTAGCCAATGAGCAACCATTATTCCAAAGAGAGTAAAATTAGCTAAGAAGCAACAAATTTTCTTGGAAGTCGTAAACGGCGCAAACCCAAACCATTGAGTCGATTTAAGTCGACATATCCTGCTCGAAGTGACGCCATCAGTGGCTTCCAACATCAACCTCGTCCAAGAAGTCACTATCCAAGCATGATTTCCCTTTGTCTCCTGCACCTATCCTTTTCAAGCTTGACATTCTTGTCATTCATGTCTTCGCTTGAGGGGGAGTGTAGGAAACCTTTATTGGAGACACTCCACAGCTGCATCATCCAACTACCAAACACAACATTCAAGACTGCAGTTGGAGACAACACAATTAATCCACCATTCCTCATCAAATCTCACATTCTTATCTTCTGTAGACTTCATGTGCTCCAGACATAGAACCCATGCTACTCCATTTCGTTTACATTGTTTGTTGTTATTTTCTTTGTATAAATAGAGTAGGAACTCTTATGTAAAACTCAAGCATTCAATCAATAACAATACCCAAAGTTTGCTTCACCAAATTTATCACACTCCTTTATATGTAGACATGAGTTCGGGATTAGCCCTGAGTGGTGACTTCCATAGCAGCGGGATATATAATAGGCATAAGCCTGTCTGTTTTTTGTTTTGTTTTGCAGGTACAACATCTCTTGCCTGCGCTTTTGGGGTAGTGGGTCTCGCCAATTGACTTATTGTTGTCATCGTTAGGTCCTTGATGATAGCAGGGATAGCTTAAAGCATTGTGGTGAAGCGTATACGACTTTGGATTACCTCTGAAGCTTATATCGTTTTATGATTTTGAGTTTTGTTTAGTCACTTTATTCTTAGGAACTAATAGAGCCACCCATTTTGTGGCTAAAATAGCTCTTTTATCGGTATATCGATTAGTATTGACTGTCGTGTTTTACTTTTCAAGTAGTTGTACTCTCCTGCCTATTACTATCCATCCATAACAAAAAGGGTTGAAACTGGAGAAAATATCTTCAAAAACTGCTTGGAGATTTGATGGGGAGGTTGTAGAGAGAGGAACACAAAGTTAAGTGAAACATAATTCTAAGAATAATGATGATAATTTTTCTCGAAGAAAGGAAATAGCCGAGATAGGGAGGGCCATGGGTAGGGATGACAAAAAACCATCATTGTGAGTATCTAACCGAATTCAAATAAAATTTATGGGTGAAAATCAAGGTTTTCTCCGAACCCAACAAAGAGGGTAATGAGTTGACCTCAAATCTTGTTCATTCTCTCTTAGTTTCACAAACAATGTGAAAAAGAAATTTCATTTTGTATTGACATTTGAAGATATGTTTTAGATTATATAAAAACTTTATACATGATTGTTCGGGATGATGCGAGTAGGTTCTTCCCGAATCACATACTAGTTGGTTTTTATATGACGTATTACATCCTTGCACAATTTTCGTTATGAAGATGGTTATGATTTTAAAATCGTGGTGCGAGAATTGTATATATGACAACCCATTGTCATCCCTGGTCATGGGAAACCACAAAGGTTTCATTTGGACAAAAGCAACTATTGTACCAATAAGTTTAGAGCTTCTGATAGTAACGTCACAATCAAGGTTTCATTGAAGTAGCATAATTTGTCTTTTTCCACCTTTTTTGTCGCCATCTCCTCCATCAAGTTCTCCTACTGATTTCTTCTCTTCTCCACTTAACGTGTCAAGAAGAAAGTGTTAGTAAATGATATATGATCCATAATTGAACTTCTCCCAACAACTCAAGTTATTGGGATAAGTTGGCTCTTGACATTCTATTAGAGCCTTCTGTGATTGGGAGGTCTTCTGTTCGAATCTCGATGACCTCCATATGTTCTATTAAGCATGTGGTATCCAAACCCGTGTAAACTTCAAGCCCTTCTAAGTTGGTTTTATTTTGAGGAGGTGTGTTAGTAAATGGTATATGATCCATAATTCAACCTCTCCCAACAACTGGACTTGTTTGGATCAATTGGTTCTTGACAGAAAGATTATCATCATTCTCGTATCCTAGTTACCATTCTGGTTGATAATAAAGGCACATTCAATTGGATTGAACATTATGTTGTACAACTAGGGATCAGGTGCCATAGCCACATTAAAGCCATTTTCAATGGAAAAATCCAAAACTACCACTGTTAATTTTTTTTATTACAAATATACCACCTAAACCAAAAGAATTCCAAAACTACCACCATAATTTGAAAACCACCACCCAAAGAGGCGGTTTGCATATGAACTATTTGCTGAGGTGGCGGTTCATGTGAGAAACTCATGGGGAGGAGGCGTTTCGTATTATTTGTACAAACCGCCACTTGGAGGTGTCGTTCATTTGTGTCCCGAAAAACAACCGCCTCTTCAAGGAGCGGTTCTACGTCGACAATATAAACCGCTCCTTGAGGATGCGGTTTGTATTGTCGACACACAAACTGCTCCCTCCCCTAGAGATTTGTGTGTCATCCCAATTCCCCTGACATCCAACATGTTGCCATGCAGGGGGTGGGGCTGCATGCATGGAAGACTAAACCCCCCCCCCCCCCCCCTAGCGGTTTTTAGTAAAAAATTTGCCTATAAATGGCAGCTTGCAAACCTCAGCTCCTCAGCTCTCTCATTATTTTTCTTCAAATTTCTGTTGTGCACCTTACTTTTTTGAGTTTTTGCGATTAACGTTACTTCGTATGTTGTACTTTTTATTGTGATTTGTAATTTTGATGATATTAATTTAGTTACGACTTTATTGCAAATGTCATTTCAAAAGTTCATGCTTGGGTTACGGTGGAATGACTATACGGAAGAGACTGGAAAGGGGTACGTTACGTCGGTGGTAATTTTCATAAAGTCAAGGTCGCTACGAGACCGAACCTTGAAGAGCTCCGTCAAATGTGTACTGAGGTTACTCGCATGGATGGCACGAGAAGAGTTGATCGTATGGTGTATGGATATCCAAACATACATGGTGGGTTGTTGTGGTGTGAGGTCTCATAACCACTCAGAAGGATGTAGATGTCATGGTCGAATTTTTTATCCCCAATAAAAAAAAATCAAGCAGAGATGTTTTTTTACACCGAGGCGGTCAAAGGCGGTGGAGGTAATTCTGGAGATGGCCAAACATCTGGTATCCATGGTGGAGTTGGACTATACGAAGATCATCCCTACCAAGGTTACTATGATCCTCGTATCTACCATGAGTACCAGGAAGGAGGTCGAGGTCATCAGCAATCCTTCCCATCATATGGAGAAGATGTCCAAGGATATCATAACAAACAACAAAAAGGCTACCAGTACCAACCCGAGTACAACTTCCACCAAGGCATCGGTAGTTATAACAACTACCATTACAGAGCTGATGAATGTGCCTTTCATGATCTGAATCAGATGGAAGATGCCCTGCCATGTCCAGTTAGTGACCCTAAGGATGAAGAGGAGGAAGGTGATGTCAGTGCAGACAATGTTGACACTCTTGAAGGTGCTGATGATTCAGGCCCTGATTCACCTTCCTCTTCAATCTTACTTGAGTCTCTAGGTAGGGTTGTTAATCGGTTCGGTTACGGTTTAACCGAACCAAAAACTCGGTTAACCGCGACTGAAATAATGTTGGCACTCCCAACCGAAGCCGACACCAAGAAGGCTTGTCGTTAGTTGCCACCGAAACCGCAAGTTGCTGTGCGGTTAATAAGGAAAACGTGGCCGAAAATATATGCACAAAAGAATGGGGAACTTTTTCTTTCTCTTCCCCAAATTATACCCTATTA